ATATATATATATATTAGAATTTGTTTTTTAAATTATAAATGGCTATTTAACAATTGATTTTTGTTGTTACCAATTTTTACAATTAAAAATTTATTTAGGTCAGATATTTATATTACACACTGAATGGTCGAGATCAGTATCAGCTATCAAGCGTTTTGATCCTGTCAGAGATACCTTTGAAAACATCATATCGATGAATAAATCAAATGATTATAGCGGGATAGCATTTGATTATATTCGTAATAATTTATATATACTAAACGCACATAACAGATCAATCGAGGTCCACAATATAAAAACCTTGGCAATGACGACTTTTTATTTTAATGATCTTGTTCCTAATTCTATTACATTGGTGCCTGAAGAAAGGTATGGCGTTATTAAATTGATGATTTATCATTTACAAAATAATAGTATTTGTTAACAAAATAGTTATCAAGAAAATATTATATATTAAATATTGCAGCAAGATGTATGTAGCGTTCGTGAAAGAATCCTCTCTAAAAGATTCCCTAGAAATGAAATATTTTGTATATGAAATGCAAATGAATGGACTCGGTAAAAGAAAGCTGCTTATGGAAGGTGTTTATTTCAAAGGTTCAAGAATATCAATGTGTTACTATAGAGATAATAAAACACTCTTCATGAATGATGAATCTAATATCTTGTTGCACTCGGCTGAAGGTTTGCATTTTAGTTTTTATAAGTGTTTAAATCTTGAGTTATGTCTCTCAAATGCATGTTTAAATTTTTAAATATATTTTATTATATAATTTATTGAATTAAAATTTTAATGCTTTAGTGTAATATACTTAAATTAAAAAATTTATATTATAAATATTATTTATTTAAGAGTACTTGTACAGTTGTCTACAAATTGATTGCCTACGTTTGTTGACAGTTTTTTTGTTGACAGTTCATTTGCATATAAAAATTATTGCCTACATTTCGATTACCTATATGCAGGATTGGCAAGTAACGCGTTACTTATAACGCGTTACTTGCCATTACTTTGTTGAATATTACCTTGTTATAATAACGATAATAATATTTTGAATTTTTTTATGACGGTAATGATTACATTAAAGTTAAAAAAGTCAAGCGTTACTTGTAACAAGTTAAAAACATTCGTTATTGGAAAAAATAACTCCTAATTTGTAACACGTAATGGTGACAAGTTACTTTTCAAAGTGACTCTTTTAATTTAAACACAACCTTAACATTTTTAGTTAGCGTTACTTACTGTTATAAAAAAATTGCAACATCATCATCAAATTGTTTATTATAAAAAAGTGATGGCAAAATAACTGAAAAGTACGTTTGTCAATTCTGCCTACATGCACTATTGTGCACAAATACAAAATAAGAGAAAAAGGCACTTTTGCAAATACATCACTATTGTGTACAAATTACATTGCACACATAACATTATTATCTACAAATCGATTGCCTATTAGCATTTTTACACACAAAAATTTCAGAGATGAGTAACGTTATATATGAAATAGTGCCTTTTTCTCTTAATTTTATTTATATTTGTGCATAACAATACATGTATACATAGAAAATTTTCTTTTAAAATTTACTCTAAAAGTATGGTAGTTGTGTACAAAAGTATGTTATTTTAAAAATTTTTAACATGCACATTTCAGTAAAATTAATCAAACTTATTTATAAACTTATACTTTTATTCTAGTTTTATTAATGAATAAAAGAGATTTACATTAAAATCTCTTCGAAATTCAATGTTGTCTCACGATTATTATATTTTCAGAGTAAACTCTAAGAAAAAATTCTCTCCATTGGCAATACTTTTTTTGCGCAAACGAACTGACAAATATGATTAAGCAAACGATGCTATAGGCAATCGATTTGTAAGTAAAAGGAGCCATCTCATTTAAATTAAGTAAATCCGAATTTAGAGAGAGAACGAAATTTACTAAAACTAAAAAAGCTTTTTTCTCAGTGTATATACAATAATTTATTATGAAAAAATACGTTTGTATGAATATTATAAAAATATAACGCATGTAATTTTTAGGCACACGTAAGTTCCGTACTAACATAACACAGCCTTTAAGTCTTACTATCATGGGCAACAATATCTATTGGACTGAAAAGGGAAATACTCGACAAAAATCACAGAAATTATACACGACAAATGTTAAAAACACTTTTGATCTGAACCATAAGAATATAATTGTTTTGGGTAAGTTCCTTGTTTAATAAAGTACAATAGAGGAGAAGGTAGTATTATGACACCCCCCCCCCCCCCCCCCCCCCCCC